TTACCAAAAAATGCGCTTCTTAGTTAAACATACGTTACAAAACTTATGGACTGCATGGCACAGAGATATATTATACTTACATTACTGTTAGTAGGAATTCTATTACTGGTTTGCCAAAGCGATCTCTTTACTGCACTGGACTGGGCTTTAGGGCTGGCGTCACGGGGCCGCTTCTTTGTCGGAGCATGGTTGTCGACTGTTCTCTGAGAAAGGAAAGACCGCGTAAATTTATATCATTATACGTTATACTACTTTCGTAGAACAGACAAAGCAAACGGGAAGCTATCCTCTCGGATCGATCCAGTCAACCAAAAATTGTGATGAAATTTGTGATTCCCTGCCGGAACAGTTTCCCTTCTCCAAGGTGTGTTACGTGTTACATTTTTAAACATTTGATGACATTATTTAAAAAAAAAAAAACGTAAATGTCATTCAGTCTCACCTTATCGTGCAAATGACCATAAGCTTCTCCTCTCAAGGAACCAGCGTCATCCTCTGGGTTGTCATAATCCCTCATGTGGACTGCATCTACCTTTGGGCAGTTTTGACTGGAAGGTGCGCTTTTATTCATGTCTGACGATGATGACTCAACGACGGGAAGTATGTCACTGTCTCCCTGATCAAGCTGAGTGGCATCTCTTTCTAATCGCCTCCTTGATTCATTTCCAGTAACAGCAAGTAGCGAAGGAAAACTAATTTTGGAACTTGAATCTTCATCTGTTTGCATGGCCTGTCCAATGGGGCGTTTACTAGTTGTTGTCATGGTAACATCAACTGGTGAAGATGAGTTCGTTGTGGGGTCACATTTACTTCTATATGGATAACATCGGTGACGTCAAGTTTTCCGGTCACAGATGTGCCGTCAACCACCGTGCAAGGAGAGAAACTCTGGCCATTTCTCTCTTTCATCATATGCGAAATCTCTTCGAGGACATTTTCTTCCAGTTTCGTTGCTTACGGCACGTGAAGTGAGGGTTTCACACGCACCAGAGCTTTCATCAAAATCAATAGAAGTTACCTCGGGCTTGCCATCTTCGCGTAAAGCGCGTTTGTTAGAACCGGAGAACAGCCTGTGGTGATCAGCGGCAAATGAGATGTTATCCTTGTTTATGTGCGCACTTGCGTTGTCTTGAGGTATGACAGGCTCTTTTTGCGTCTCTGAGTCCGCGAACCTACACAGCAGTAATTGAGAAAGTTGTCGCTTCTTAGATAATCGTCCTTACCTAAGCTATTAATCAAAGTATTACCATCAAACGAGTCCTTGATATGTGAAACTAGCAAATTACAAGTAATAGTTTATGATGCTTAATGGTCAGAGATCCTCAAAGCAAATGCAAAACGAAAACAACTTTGAATGTACAGGAATAAAGTACTTTTTCAACACCACAAAAGCAACGTAAATTAGGTTGCAAGCATATTTGTTCAACTTTGAAAAAAGTGTAGCACTGTGCTATTCAAAATGCTAGATACCTTTGTCATCTGACAAACGAGTGGTTGTAAAAATAATACTAAGAAAGGGAATAATAATGATAGCAAAAATGATAACTATGATAAATAATAATGACGAAATGATTATAATGATAATAATGATGACCATAGCTATAATGATAATAGACCATTTTACAGTTGTCTGTTCAGTGACCTGGCCTTTGAATGGCAGCGAGGCTGCAGGTAACCTTGTTTTGATACAGACCTCACTGCTTTTGTTGTGTAAATCAAGTTGTTCTTATGCTAAGTAGTTTGCATTTAAATGAGAAAAGCGGTGAGGTCTGTATCAAAGCAAGGTCACCTCCAGCCTCGCTTACATTCATAGGCCAGGTAACTAAGCACACAACTGTAAAATGGCCTATTATAATGCTAATGATATTGATAATGATTATGATAACGGGTAGTCTATCTTCAAAGGAGGTTTGTGCGGTACGCAAAAGAAACTTATGAAAACAATACAACACAATTCTAAGTCGATATCGATATCAAAAACACAGGTTGGATTCTACATTAATCAATATTGTTGTCAAATAAAGAGGGTCACTTACCCTGCCCTAGGTGTAACAACTGCTAGTGACTGGCCCGTGTCCGCCTTAACATCTCCGTGCTACAGTCACTTCCAAAGCCAACAGCAGAGAGACATCCAAACTTCCGACGAGTTTTCTTTTCCAACCATTATCAAACTGTTACCACTCCCGGGTCTCAGGGTAACAGGATGAGTGTCAATCAAGTATGGTTTGCCATTGAGACAACCAATTGTCAGGACGAAAGGATTACTGGTGAATATTGCAGCAAAGCCCGTACGTCCAAGTTCACAGAGTTTCGAATGTAACTTGTGCCTTCCTTCGACAGAAAAAACTCCATCGGCAAACGGCAATTCTTCCGAAAAGTCATGAAAAGCCTTGATGATCTTTTTGTCCAGGAGGATGTCATAAGCTTCTACGGGATCGTACATTTTACTAAGGTCGCGAAACGGATTTATTTTGTCAGGTAAAAGCCATATGGTGTCTTCCGTAGTACCAGCTACTTTTGCGAAAACATCACCTTCTGTTCCGATTTCTGTCAGGATCGTGTCTACGATCTTCACAGACAGAAAAGCGCATGCGTTGGTTCCATCATTGCTCAGGACGGATCCCACCTGCAATGCCTCTTCGTGACCAGCTTCGTGGAGGTAAGTGGCAAGTTTCTGATCAAACTGTTCTACAGCAGTAGCTTGGCTGATCTTTAATGGGATGACGTCGAAGTCTTTTTCCTCTCTACTTAAGATGGTCGCTGCTTTGTCTAAGGACAATCGACTCTGCCGGTTGAAGTTGACGCATCCCTTGTACACCTCCTCTAAGGCACACCACACAGTAGCACGTTCGACTTCATACTTTTCATCTGGTAAGGGATGTTTTCCTCTGCGCAGTAGAGAACTGATGAATCTTTTAAGTTCATCTTGACAGCCGATATTTCCTTCTGATCGAACCTCGACTAAATAGGGACATTTCAGGCTAGGGTTAATCAATGAAAAGAACACCATTACCAGGGCCCATAGATCTGCTAGTATTAAATCGAAAATACTTGCGCGAGAAATCCGAAGATCCTCGACAAGAATTTCAGGGGCCATGTACATCACCGTTCCTCGATCTACGTTCCTCGTGTTCGAGGCAAGAACGCTTTGCGTTTGCATTAGCAACGAGCGGCTCTCTCCAAAGTCCGTGAGCTTGCACGCTATAGGCCGCGATTGAAACTGCAAAGCGATTTCCTGTGCGTCGGATAATGTGTTGTAGTGACGATTGCACACTAGTATGTTGGCTGGTTTTAAGTCTCTATGGGCAATTCCTTTTCCGTGGAGATACGCCAGTCCCTGTATCATTTCCACTGCCGTATGATTAATTACATCGTGGAATCCTTTGCAGTTGTAATCGTTAATTTGCAGCAAGAAATCAGAAAGCGAGCTGACACGCAAATCGTCGACGCCAAACAGCTTGAAGTCAAAGTAAACATATTCAAGCATTATCGCCAGCGGCTGATGGCACACTCCAA